ATACAGTCTAGCTCTGGTAAAAATTCTGATTGGAAGAACAGAACTTATTTATAAAATCTTTATTAATAAAACTCTTAACACCATAAAAGTTAAGTGAAATAAATCAGGTTCATGAGTTTAAATATCACATGGTTTCTCTTGAGAAGCCTGCAGTAAAGAGCAAAATAAAAGCTAGAAAACAGGAAGCAGGGAGAGAGGAAAGGGGAGAGGAGAATAGAGAGGGACAGAGGGCAGGAAGAGTAGGGGTAAGGGACAAGCAAAGACTTAATATGTGTCACACAGAGGCACCCACCACCACCACCGTGAACGCAATCATTACATGCTGCACACCTGTACTCATTAAGAACATTTCAGATGATACCCAGCTGTGGTGGCACGTGCTCCTACTCCCGGCACTCAGGAGGCTGAGACGGGAGGATCACCATGAGTTTGAGGCCAGCCTGAACTACGCAGTGAGACCCAAATCAAAAAAACAAACAACAAATAAATAAAGATGATAAGTCAAGCAAGTGAGATTTAATTATTATCTTATTCGAAATTAGTAAGTTAGCAAAGCAAAATGGCAGTGTTAACAAGAGAAAATACAGATACTAATTTCAATAAGTAGTCAACAGAGAATGGATAGAGGCTAAAGTATTACATGAAGTTAATGGATAAATCTCCAACATGCCTAGACAGTGGATCATAAGCATCTGATACTATCAAAACAAAATTACTCTTAGTCCTAGAGGCATGTATACACTGAACGAAAGACATGCGTAGGGCAGGGTAAGCGGGGGTGGGCTGGGGGGAAGAGAGAAAATGTTAGAACCAGAAAATGTCATATAAAACACATTAAGATGGAAAATACCTATATATTAAATAAAAATAGGATTCTTTAAGAGGGCCAAATATAGAAAAAAATCTGTAGAAATTCACATTTAAAACAAAGTCTGTTTATGACTCAGAAAAGTTAAAAAATTAAAAACCAGAATCATGTTAACATCAGAAAAGTAAATGCAAGTAAATAACCGTCAAAAACATAAAGAATTATTTTACATCCAACCCTAATAACTGAGCCACAGTTGGGCACCAATTACTATTCTACACATTGCTAGAATGACCTGTGTTTAAATCAACAATGAGTTTCTATTTGTGACAAATTTTTAGTACCAAAAATCAAAGTATTAAAATCCATAAAATTATAAAATTCTAGAAGAATTCAGAGAAACAAGAAATTACTAATAGGTATTATTAACCACAACAGAACAAGACTACAACATAATAAGAAATGGACAATAATACCGTCAGAAGGGGTAACCCAGGAGCTATACCTCAACACAGATTTTTTTCTATATTTGACTCTAACAAATCCTATGTTTATTTAATATATAGGTATTTTCAGTCTTATTTCTAACATAAAGCTTCTTTTCAAGAAGCATCACTGATGTGATGCTTTAATATTTATTTATTTGTTATTTATTTACTTTGAGGCAGGATCTCGTTGCATAGTTCAGGCTGGCCTTGAACTCATAGATCTCAGCCTCCCAATTGCTAGAATTATAGGCATGCAGCACAACACCTAGTTTTAATTTTAAAAATAAGAATACATTAAGCCACAAAGTAGGGCTGCAACACATTTAGAAAGGTGGAATTAGAAAATCCTTTTTTGATCACATATAGTATTAAAAATATTAATAATAAAAATTTTGCAAGTGCAAGGTCCTGGGTTCAATTCTCAGGAGGAAAAAAAAATTTAAATTAAAATTTAAAAAGCTTAACCACCAAAAAAAATTTTAAACTCTATCAGAGCTTTTGAGGATTTTGTGTTTGCTTGCTTGTTTTGCTTTTTGAGACAGGGTCTCATGGTAATTGAGGCTGGTCTTGACCTCACTATGCAGCCCAGACTGGCCTCACATTCACAGCGATCCTCCTGCCTCAGTCTCCCGAGTGCTGGGATTACTAGCATGTGCCACCATGTCCAGCTACTCTGTCTGATCTTGATTCAAAGGAAAAGGTTGAAACTGAAATTATAGCATCTGTATGTAAAAATAACAATATTAAGGAATATTACCTTTCCAAAAGTTTGGAAAACTGGGCCCAAAATAAATCTTTACAGCACGAAACATTTTATCAAAAAATAATAATAATAATAAAATAAATAAGCATACTAGTCAAGAATTTGACAAGATGATAGTAAAATTCATCTATAAAATTAAATATATTAAAACAAAAATTCTGAGGAGGAAATAGGATTGGAGCATTTAAGCCAAATAGATGCGTAGGCCTGTCACAGTCACCCTGATCAAAACATTACAGGTCAAAAGAACACAACAGCATGCAAAGGTAAACTTCAACAGTAAGAAAACAGCATGTGTGATAAGGATCACATTTAAAATCAACAGGCAAAAAAATGAATTAAATAATGCCATTCAATAAATAGTGGTAGGCTAGGGAGATAGCTCAGCAGTCTAAGCCCCTGCTTGGCAAGCACAAAGACCTGGATTTGATTCCCGGTAGGTACCACATGTCGTGCCAGCCCCAGAACCAGGCATGATGGCACATGCCTATAATCCCAGCTCTGGGGAGGCTGAGACAGAAGGATCACTACAAGTCTGAGCTGCATAGCGAGAACCTGTACAAAATAAATAAATAAATAAATGGCTAAAAGATAAAAAATAAATAGTGCTGACTTAACTTTCAGGCCAAATATTTTAGAAAGTAGTTAAACCCTCATTCCTTTCACCAAAATAAACTAAAATAGGCTAAAAAACATATAGGTGAATACATTATGGTCTTGGCACAATAAGAGATCTTTCTAAGCCAAATATAAAACCCAAAATGCATAGGACAATAATTGATAAATATAACTACATAAAAAACAAAAAACTTCTCTACAATCAAAAATATTTTCTGGAGTAGTAATATTTTTTTAAAAACTAACTAAAAAAACACTTTTGCATCCAGATTTTTTATTTTATCAAGAATATACACAACAAAAAGAGAAAAAGAAATAACCTGATAAGAAATTCAGATGTATAATTTTTAAAATGCTAAATCTCAATAAGTTTTAAAGTACAAATCAAAATATTGAGATTCCATTATCTCCTATTCAACTGACAGGATTTTTTAAAGTTTGACAATACTTACTGTGGGGAAGGATCCAGAGAAATAAGCATGCTGAGACAACACGAGTGATAGTATAAATGAACATAATCTTTTTGAGGATTAACTAATCAAAATCTTTCATATGCCCATAGCCTTAGTCCCTACAATTTTATAATATCTATAGGCATTTATCCTATATGTGTAATCAAAAAGCATACTTTAAAAATAAATAAAAGCATACTTAGGTTAATTGTATAAACAAATGTAAAAGAAGAGCTACTGAATTATCTCAATAGATGGAGAAAAAGGACTTGAAAAAAATTCAGCATCCATTCACAATCTTACAGTACCAGGGATCGAACTCAGGACCTTGCACTTGCTAGGTAGGCACTTATGCCACTGAGCTATATCCCCAGCCCTTTCAGAATTTTAAAAGAAGCTGTCAACAGACTAGAAATCGAAGGAAGTATCTGTAACCTGATACAGATGTCTAAGAAAAATCTATAGTTAACATCACAGTCCCTGGGGAAAACCCAAATGTTTTACTTTAAGATCAGGAAAGCACAAGGTTGCCTGCTCTCCTCACGTCTATTCAACTGTGGCAGGGCAGGGGCAGAGCAGGGTAACAGCGCGAGAAAAGCAAATTCACTCCGTCCAAATTGAAGAGCAGAAGTATAACGGAGCTCATCTGCAGATGGCATCTAAAAGTCTAATGAAAATTATTTGAAAAACTGCAAGGACTAACTAAAGAGTTTATCAAAATTAAAGTATAAAAGATCAACATTTAAACATCCATTGTATTCCTATATATAAGAAAGGAAAACCTGTCACAAATAGTGCTGAAAAAATTGGATAGCAATATGAAAATATGTTCTTACGCCATATACAAAAATTGATGTGATGGTAATCATGAGACAAATAAAACTTAACTTCTAGTAAAACCAGATACAACCTAAATTATCTAATACATTATGGTAATTATACAAAATGAAATACCACTTAGCCAGGTGTAACCACTAAGAAAAAGAGAAGGTAATTTTTTTTTACCTTCTTGTAAATAAATATATTGACTAATAAGGAAAGAATGCCAAATTTGAATTGAAGATTTTTAAGTGTTTATGACATTTTGTGTACATAAAGGAATATTTCCATATATAATCTCTGTGTCTGTTTCTCTCTATATATATATATCAAATTTATTATATATATATATATATGTGTGTGTATATATACAGGGTTACACACAAAGTTTTTGTTGGTTTGGTTTGGTATGGTTTAGCTGCTAGAGCTCCAACCAAAGCCCCACAAATGTAAGCACAAACTCTTACCACTGAGCTACAAATCCAGGCCCCGCAGAAACTTCTAACTTTTAGGAAAAAATAAATATCAGGAGTTTAAAATGTTGTAAAGGGCAATATGAATATAATTATAAAAATGTATGCCTCTCTATAGAGGTCATATTTTTGCTGCTATACATATTATTCTATTTTAAATGATTTTTTAAAAGCATAAGCAAGTAAGAGACCTCTAGGAGGAGGTGCCTGTAGCCCACATTGGCACTGAAGTCACTGGCCAGGAGGAACCATGTGAAGCAGTAGGCGTGCGCTCTGAGAAGAAAAGGAGAACATAAAAGCAAGAAGCAGAAGAAAACCACGCTCAGGAATGCAAGACACCAAAGACTGGCTGGTGGGTTTGTTGTGAATCCCATACCCAGGCCTTCTGAGGTCTGCAAGCTTCATTGTCAGTCCTTGAATCCCATAAAATTTCCTGCAGCATCTTGTCAGAAGCCGTCTTTGTCATGACCTGGTTTGAGTTTCTCACAAGCTGATTTTAGCCCCTGAAGACCCCAGCACGGGCCTGGCCTGCACCTTGTGGAATACTCTACGTTAGATCTCAGGGAATCACAGCCTTACCGTGCAGACAGGAAGCAACCAGGAGCCTGCCCCTGTGACCTTCTGCAGTTAGCCAAGCCTAGGAGTGGGAGTTAAATAGAAACCTGCCCAGCAACATTTTATACTCAAAATCTATGAAAAGCATTTCCAATTCTGAGCACGTGGATTGAGACTGTTCCTTCCCAATCCACAGTGTGTCCTATCTGAATCACAAATCGCAGGACCACAGTTTTCAGAGAAAAAAATTAAAATAAACAGAGGCAATACATACAAATAATAAATATAATAAACAGCCAGAGAAACACAAACTAAGAAAACATACCACATAACTATGAGCAAACCAGAGAATAATTCCAAGCCAATAAGCAAGTACACCACAGGAGCGTCTGAACAGAGTGGGAACTGGCTTTTTCATACCCTGTCTGCACACTGCCAGACAGGGCCTGCTATGGCGCAGCTCAAACAGCATCTCTTCTAGGAGCCTCCCTAACTTTCCACTGCAAACGATCTTTCCTTAAGGTCTTGCTGATCAGGAACTCTTTTTCTAGCAGTTATCACATTCTCAGGGTTCATTTGTTCACGCATCGATCTTCTCTACCAGGGAGTTTGCTGAGAACGGAAGTCATGGCCTACTTAGGAACTTTTTTCCTACTGAGGAGACAAATACACGTTACGTAAGTGCTCAGTGAACGCTCAGTACAGGAATAAATACCAACACTTTAAAAACCAATGAAGTTTTACTAATGATAAAGAGGTTGTAGTTTCATTGAATATGAAGAAAATAAAGAGAAATACAAGTAATCCAAGTTATACAACATCCCTGTCCAAAAACAATCACTCTTAATCTTAAATATCACTGCAGACACACACAGAGCTGTTTCTCTTTGCTTTCCAAAGCAGAAGATATGACTTCTAGCTCAATCACCGTTTGACTGCTGCTTCAAATATTTCTCTCAGTCATAAAACTCAGCGACCTTGCTTGGTCCTTGTGGTCACCCCAACAGCATTAGCCATTGTTTAGTGGCTTTGTATTTCCCACTGCTGCCTGCTTTGCATCCTACTTTCTGGGTTCCTTTCCTGCACCTCCACTGCTTCCATCAGATTCTGTCCCCCATGAACACAGCATCCCTGCCTTCCGTCTTCCTCTTCGCCTCTGAATGTATCATGTGTACCCGAGACTTCAGCCTCATGTCTTGGCAGGCAGCTGCCTCTCTCCAGCACAATTTCTTCTCCCACTCTCCACTCCGGTATCACAGTTTTGCTTTCCCTGGTTGGAATTACCCTCTGTGAACTGCAGTCCAAATATATTAAATGGAAAATTAAAAACAAACAATTGGTAAACTGTAGATGTCATGCCATTCTGGGTAGCGTGATGAAATCTCATGCAGCCCGTTCCATCTCACCTAGGACGGCAACCATCCTGTTTCTGTGTCCATGCTATACATGTTATCTGCCCATTAGTTATTAGTGGCCATCTCTGTTATCAGGTCAAGGTCAGTATTGCAGTGCTTGTGTTCAGAAAACCCTTACGTAGTAGCCTGCGCCATTCATGACACTTCCCTTGGGGTTACTGATTACAAATAGAGAGTAATAAATGCCCCATTGAAGGAAACAAGCTGGGGGTGGTGATACACACCCATAATCCACCATTCTGGAAGACCGAGGCAAGAAGATCAAAAGTTCAAGCCCAGCCTGTGCAATTTAGAGACTCAGGGAGACTGTCCCAAAATACGAAATAAAAAGCAGGCAGGGGCATAGTTTAGTGTGACAGTCTTAAATTCAATCCCCACTACCTACTTCCCACAAGAAGAAAGAAGAAACGACGGCAATAACTGCAGCAGAAGGATGCAGGGGTGACAGTACTTCCCTGAAAGTGGAAAGTAGAACTCAGCGCCCAGAGGACAGCAGAAGATGCAAACAGGAAGGCCGGGCAACAGAGGGCAAGGCTGAGAGCTGAGGCTGGGCAAATTGAGGAAATCCAGCAACTCATAAAAATGCCCCCGCAGCTTATTTAACAGAAGAATCTTGGACCGTTCTCTCACTTCTGAGTCAATAGTGGGTAGAGGAATTCCACTTTGTCCGGCTAAGTGATCCTAAAGCAGCCGCTCTCTACTCCCACCACCACCACTGCCCCTCCTACTTGGAGAAACACAATGAAGATGAGTTCAAGCATTCTGTGAACAGTGGATTCCCCTATTATTATTTCTCATACAATCTCATTTATTTCACTACAGCACTGATTGCTATTAGGAATACTATTTGCATATCTGTTTCCTTACTGTTGTTTTGGTCCATGGACTATGTAGAATTTGAAGTCAGAGACATGACCCAAATGCTCAACAAATACTGATTGAGTACTCAAAAGTAGAGCATGGGCTGAATTTTATTTTATTATTGTTATTATCATTATTATTGTACTGGGGATCAAACTCAGAACTTTATACTTGCCAGGAAGGCACTTAAACCACTGAGCTATCTCCCCAGCCCTGGGACTGAGTTTTAGAGGCCTTAAGTATTCTAAGTATTTCAACCTTAGTCCACAAGTAAACCACTTATCCTTGCTGTACTTCAGTGATTTTTTTTTCTATGTAAGTTATAGGCAATAATAATGGCTTCTCTATGGAGTTCCATTATGAATTAATGGAGTAAACATAGGCATACATGCAAACATCTTTTACATACTTCTTGTTCATAGCAAACACTCAATATGTGTTCGTTATTATCATGAGCTAGTACAAAGCTATAGAAGTTTCTGAACAGAACAGCAACCTTAGGAAGACCAACTTGCAGCGGTGTGTAGAACTGAAAGGAGGTGGCCCTCAGTAGAATGTGAGGCGACAGGCGACTGGGTTGTAGTTACAAATCCAGGCCTTGTGATAAGCCATGAGTCTTAGGAAGAGAGTGGCAGCGATACCAGGGAAAGAAATAACACCAGTAAAAACCAATACATTGGGGGTAATGTAGGGCACAGAAATCAAGGGGGGAAAACAGGGCCAGAATTTGTGGTAAAAGTGCTAAGCCTGAACAATTAGAAAACAGAAAGAAGCGGGGATCCCTGCAGGAGGCCCAGGGAACTGGGCTAACTCAGTTTGGGACCCATTGGGCTGGAGGATCCAAGGGAAAACATGAGATGCAGCAAAGAAGCCGCGTGGAGCTTAGGGGAGACAGCAGGAAGACTAGGTGGAGCCCACATACGCCCCAGGGGTTCCCACGCAGACCAAGTGGGGAGGGACTCCGGTGGGGGAGGGTGTAGATCAGGAGTGAGAGGAGGGCTTGCAGGGAGAAAGGAAGAGAGCAGAAAGTCAGATGGCCCACGGAGCTAGCAGAGAAACACAAGTGGTAAGGGCTGGACTTTTTTTTTTTTTTTCGGAACCAGGGATTGAACTCAGGCCCTTGCACTTGCCAGGGAAGCACTTATTCCACTGAGCCATCTCCCCAGCCCTGGACTTTTTTTTAATGGTTTACCAAAAAAAAATCAGATAAAAGGCATAATTTTCATGAGCTGGTGATAAAGCTGTTTGTCATTTTGATCTCCTAACTTTTGCAAAATAGCTTCTGTGGATTACAGTCTCATTTAATCATCTAAAAATAGATTTCATGGCTGGGGATATAACTCAGTGGCACAGTACCTGCTGGGCAAACATGAGGTCATGAGTTTGATTCCTGGTACTAAATAAATAAATAAAATTAAAATAGGTTTCATTTGTGGAAATGACTAAACATGGCAAAGTCCACAACTGAGAAAGCATTAATAAACAGAGCCCATTCTGGAAAGTCCTTGCCCTTTTTTAGTGAAACAGTCCCATTTTTCTGTGGAGAAACCAAATGCTCTGGGATGAAAAGTTACCAACCTGGACCCACAGGTCAAAATAGGACTGTTTTGTTTTGGTTTTGGTTTTGGTTTGTTCAGGCTGCCTTCAGGGCAGGTCTGGTATAGCATGTGGAGTTGGGGATCAAAGTGCAGTCCCCTGCGCCTGACTGAGTTTGCCCAAGCAGGCTTTTTAAACAACTGAGCTAACCCGCAAGCCCCCACCAGGTCAAAATAGAAGATGCATTGACTTGGTCACGGAAGGCTGTCCAAGGAGGCCAGAGAGAACTTTCAAATGCACAATAAGACTTTTCATTCTAACAAGTTCCAAATTACTTCACAAATATACAACTAATTAGCATTCATGTAGACAGTAATCTTGGTCAGCTGTACTCTAAAAACACATTCCTGATCCGTGTACCTGTCTCCACTGCCACCCAGGGCTACATGAAGCCCCCAAAGAAGCCATTTGAACAAATCAGAGGAAAATGCCCCAGCTGCAAGGAGCTGTAGCCCTATGTGACGTGCACGACTCGCCAAGCAGAGCCCCTGCCCCACTTCATCCTGGCCCCGCAGCCTCGCATTGATCACAGCCACCCTTCTCGAGGGTAGGAAACACAGCAAGCTGGAAACCACAGCCTTGTACTTCCACCATCCCAGGACACATCAAAGTCTCTTCATTTTTTTGTGCCTCACTTTCCTCATTAGAAAATATGATTAAACTAATCCTGCTTCTCAAGGTTTGCTTCAGGTACCGTGCACTGTACATGTTCAAACTAGGGCTGTTAACCTTGACTCTCCAGGGAAGACACTCACGCAACGGCATCTGGCAGAGCTTCACAGGTCATTTTGGTTGAAGCAGGAGATTAGGACACGGCCAGCCAGCTGGGCAAGTGGGCATGACCTGTCAATCATACGGGCCCAGGACGTATCACAAAGGCAGTTGCCAAGCGCTGCATCTGGTACCAACCAGAAAGTTCTATCTTTAATCCGTCTGGCACATGGCCAAGCGGGGTTTTAACAGGACAGTCTGATGTCAGCCTCAAGGATGGGGGAACCCAGAACACCATCAGCCTCATGGCTGCTAGTATAGCTTTCTTGTTGGCCCAATTGCTCAACAGATCACTTTCTTACCTTTAATTCTCTTACATTCTGCAGAGCATGTTTTTCCTACTTTTAACAAATGTAAGACCTCGTTATCTTTTTCGCTTGTCCAGTTTTCTGTTCAAGCAATAAGAACCTGAAAAGAATCTCTAGAAGGAGTCCACA